AGGAAGGACGTAGTTTCCATATTTGTGGAAGGAGACTGTCATCACCCAGTCAGTGAGGTAGAAGGCTTCCTGAACTCCATCACCACGGTGGATGTCAGTATCAATGTAGAGCACCCGAGGGTGGTACTTGAGCAGCTCCAGGATGCCAATCACAATGTCATTGACATAGCAGAAACCAGAGGCCTCAAACTTCTTGGCATGGTACAGACCACCAGCCCAGTTAATGGCAATATCACAGATCTTGTTATTCAGCTGGATTGCTCCTTGCAGAGATGCGCCTCTGTAACGGGAACAGAACTCAAAGAGCCCAGGAAACACTGGGCAGTCATCGCCCACGTTGAAGGCATTAAGGCCCTTGGTGAAGCCTTGCATATTGGTGGGGCTGACTCTCTGCAAGAAGTCGATGTCCTCAGAATGAAAGTGGCACGTGTCATGCTGGGAGGCCTGGTAGGGCTTGATGACAATCATCTTCTTATAGAGACCGTAGTGAAGGACCAAACTATGGGTCAATGCCAAGCGATGGGGCTTCATAGGGTGCCCTGCCCCGTAGTGGAAGTTGCCCACGTCGGGGTCGTAGAAATAGGCCACAGTCTTGGTCATGGTGCCGGCGGGAGCAGGCCCCCGTGCCTCTGCCGCCCACCCGGCCGCCTGCCCCACCCCCCTATTTTATACCCACTTTTAACCCACACAGTAACACAGGTCTTTGCACATCATAGGGTCTTAAGTATTTGACAATGGATTAGAAAATGCTGTCTATCCTCATTAATGTCAGGAGTGCGGTTAGAATATTTTAGGTCACTCTCCTGTGTTTGTTGTTCAGTGGATCTGGGTTTGCAGTTCTGGTCTACCCATGACTGGCACTGTGAACTTGGGCAAATTACTCTCAACCTAACCTGCACGGTTGGTGTAAGAATCAGCGGGTAAATATTTAACGTATCTGGCAGCAGCTCTTGTTCTTATTTTGCTTGTCTTGGAAAGCAGAAGTTTCCTGGCTTGTTGCTTATTATTCTGCAGTTGAGAGCTCTCATATTTTCGTATTTTCTGGAATTGCATTTCCATTTGGGAGCTTTAGCTCCTAGTACCTAAGGTTGGCTTTACTGAGGTGGGGGGTGGGGGGGAGGAGGAGCTCTTTGACCAGAAAGATGAGTAGATGCTAAAAAAGCAGAAATGGATGGAAAAGGCATTCCAGACAGAAAGAATAATAGCATGTGCAAAGGCCCGGGGTCATGAAGGAGAGTGACATGGAGGAAGTCGATCATGGCTAGAATGAGAGATGTACACGATGGCAGTGAGCAGACAGAGGCTAAGCATTTGGGCAGGAGCCAGGTCAGGAACAGCATTGTGTGAGATGCTAGATTTGGGCTATCAGTAAACATAGTCAGATTGGCCTATCAGCAAGCTGCTTCTCTTCTTCATCAATTTCCTGTAAGTTTCAGTGAGTCTCTGAACCAAAATTGTTGTAATTAGCCAGATGTAGGGGGTAGGAATAGACCACTTTCCCAGCATGTGACTTCTTACCAAGAAAAGCACCTTACTTAATTCACAGTGGGACTCGGCTAATGTGGCCGGCAGACATCTCAGCCTATGGTCCCTTCCTTCCGCTCTGCCAGGTTGGCAGTTCCACACGCAGGAATATAGTCGATGTTGGTTTGTCCCAGGCTTTTTCATGACTTTTTTTTTTTAAGATTTTATTTATTTATTTGAGAGAGAGAGCAGGAGCAGCAGGGAGGGGCAGCGGGAGAGGGAGAAGCTGACCTCCCGCTGAGCTGGGAGCCCCATGTGGGGCTCGATCCCAGGACCCTGAGATCAGGGCCTGAGCCGAAGGCAGACGCTTCACCGACTGAGCCACCCAGGCACCCCCTTTTTCGTGACTTCTCATTTTGTCCTCAGGGTTTCCTCAGTAGGTTGAATCTCTAATATCTTTGGCCATCCGCTGCAGCAAACCAATGCCAGTCATTGTTTGCATTCTCTTCATTTCTGTGCTAATGCAGCATACGCCGAGCCAGATGTTTTCGAACAGTCTTGAAATGTGTGAGCAGGGTTCGGCAAACATGATAACAAACATCGCTTGTCCTGTTTTCGGGATTGTTCTCTGCCGGTAGCCAAGCCGAGGATTGGGGACGTGGTGAGAAGGAGCAGTCTGCTGGAGGCGGGGCCTCTTCTCCTGCTTGTATTTGTGTGTCCAAGGGAAAACCAGGGTTTGGCGTGTTGGGGCGTTCTGCCCATCATCTGGAACATACCCGACAGCAGCAGCCAGGCTTTGCTTTTGCTCCCCTGGCCGTGTTTTCTAGCTTCTTCTCTCTGCTTGTGTCTCTCATGCTGTTCCTCCTGCTTCACTTCCAGGTGCCTTTCCCATCATTTGTGCTCAGCAGTTCTACTATTGTTCTTCCTGTCTGGTTCTCTTAAATTCAGCCCACACCTTTTCAACTCCATATCCTGAGTCAAGTGTTTGAAAGCTGTTATTTCATGTTAATTAGAAGTTCTTTTTCCAGCCAAGAAGCCTTGCATGCAACCGTTCCCCAAGTTGAGGCTTAGAGACGAGCTCTGGCATTTTGTAGTTTGGGTGTGGTTAAAGGACAATTGGACAGTTGGAACTACACTGCCACCGCAGGCAGGGCAGCCTTCCCCACGGCCTCACCCCCTCCCTGGGGCGGGCATGCTCCAAGCTTGGCTAAGCCAGAAGAGCTCGGTGCACCTCCCAGAGAACATCACCACAGTCCTAGGTGGGGTCTCCCTTGGCCAAAATTGCTTGGCAGCCAGACCCAGGAGGGTCTCTGGCATCTGAATAGGTCTCTACCAAATGCTAAAAGGTGACCCTTTGTAACATATCTCCCAGTTGACCCAAGTTTGGTGGGAGATTCTGGTGGAAAAAGGCTCCCATCACTTTCTGGACTGGTGAAGACATCAGCAGGAGTTGGCACCTGGCTCCTGAGAAACCCCTCAGGGAACTTCCACTTCTTGAAATGTTCTTGAGCAGATGTGGAGCCCTGTGCTCACATTTGGCCTCACCCTTTATCCTACCTGCTTGTAGATCAGAGGCTACATCCCTGTCCACAGACCCAGGCTCGAGGAGGCTGCAACCCTGAACCCTCCAAGAGCCCCCAGCAGCCCCCTGGGCGTCTTGTATTCCATTTGGAGGGAGGGGGTGGTACTAACCCATTGCAGAGCTTGGGCAGTGATGCATTCGGACCACCCTCTTTCCCTCTCCCACTGAGAAAAAAGAGACTTTCTTCCTCCAAAATGCCTTCAAATGAGGCCATTACATCATGCATGGTTGAGGAATTCTCTTGTTACTGGAAATACATTTCTTAGTCTTCTGTGGTTTGTAGAGAAACTAGTCAGTGAGCCAATGGGGCCACAGAGCACAATCCTAGGCACTGTGGAAGTGAGGGGTTGATGTTCTTTTATGGAAGGGGGATAAATACCACACACCAAGAAGGGTTATTACAAAGATCACCTTGGTTGTGTTTGTGAAGTGCCAAACACAGAGCCTGGCACAGAGAAGGTCTTTAATAGACAGGAGCTTCCCCCATTTCTTTCTTCTCTTTATTACCATTAACAGCAAATACCAGCTAATGTGATAGAGAGTAGAGTAGACAGAGGCGTAAGCATGGTATTGTTTGAGGAGATGGGGTTGTAGCTGGGTTTAGAATTTAGGAAGAAGTAAGGAGAGCAGTAGATTCATACAGATTAAAACTGAGGACACGGGGCACCTGGGTGGCTCAGTCGTTAAGTGTCTGCCTTCGGCTCAGGTCATGATCCCAGGGTCCTGGGATCGAGCCCCATGTCAGGCTCTGTGCTCGCTGGGAAGCCTGCTTCTCCCTCTCCTGTTCCCCCTGCTTGTGTTCTCTCTCTCTCTCTGTCTCTCTCTGTCAAATAAATAAATAAAATCTTAAAAAAAAATAAAACTGAGGACACGGCATGTATATTCATAGACTTAGGAAAGAAACCTAGCCTTTGGCCAATAAATTATATTGATAGGAGTAAAGGGTCCAGAGGGATGCATGGCACACAGTGGGGTGGTGAAACAGGAGTGGCCGGTGGGCAGGGTGCCTTCGAGGACTCAATAAGGAATTTTGACTTAGTATTATAAGCAGTAGGGAATCACTGTGGTTTCTTGAGCTGGGACTGAAAATGATTTTTAGAGATCTTCATAAGGCAATTTCTTAGAGCTGGGCAACTTGGGGGAACAGGAAGACCACCAGGAAGGTATCTGGGCTCATGCTGGGGCTTCGCAAGGATAGTACTAATGAGCTCAGGGACCAGGGAAGCTGATGTCTTCAGAAAGGCATAAGGAGACTTTGGGAGTGAGATAGCCCAGAGGCCGGGAAAGAGAGGAGGGTCTAAGCTCAGCTCACAGAAGGTCTGGGCAGAGGATGAATCCATTGGTGGTAACAAAAATAGGAAAGAGGTAGTTGGTGACTATGGAGTGAGCTGGTGAAGTCCTAGCCCTTCAGTAGCAGGGCTGGGAAGACCTGAGGAGAGAGCCTGAGCCAGATGCCCTCTTCTTTATGTGCCTTTTCGCAGCTTACAAGACTTATTCACCTTCACATGATGAGGATCTTGGTGGAAGAGGATTTGTAGATCCTTTATATCAACTGAGTCACGTCTCCTGTGTAAATCTGTAAATAAGTCAAGATTTGCTTTTAATGAATTTTTGAAGTTTTGCAAATAAATTGGTTTTGTTTTAAAAAGCAGACTCTTAATAAAACCCCTGCGCTCTCAACAAAATTAGCCATTCTGATGCATTTAACCTAATCACAAATGGTCACATTGGGTGCACCTGCATTTGCCTTCAATCTACAAAGCCATATATTAAACTGGGAGTTCTGGAACCCTTGGCCCTTGCTGCCCCCGCTTCCCTCGGATCAAGCCTTTGCCCACTCCATTCTAGAATGAGTGCCGTCGCTTCCGGGTCTAAGCCCAGCCCCATGGGTGGTTCTGGTGGGGACTCTCTGGCTTGAGCTGTGTTGTTTTCTCTCTTTGTCTCCCCATCATAGACTACTGTTTTCCAAAGTGAAGTTGGAGTCACTCTGCCGGGGCCCGGATGAGGCGCTCCTCACTTGTAAGCACATGTTACAAATATGGAAATCCTGCTACAACCTAACCAATCCCAGGTAAGAGGACAGCAGTGCCTGTTTTGCGTGGTTTTTGCATGGGTCCCCGCCTCCCGGGGCCATCTCTGATGGGCGGTTAGCACGCAGGCACGACCCCTGCCGCCTTGTGCACTTCCAGGTCCTCGTGAGCAGCAGATGATAGTGGTGGAACCATACACACTCCATTGTCAGGGGCTTTTCTTCCAGTGGCTGATGAAGCCCCCAGATCGGGAGTTTCTTTTCCTGTTGCTGCCACCGTGAGCCACGAGGCCCAGTGACCAATTAATTACCACCTGATTTCTCTCAACCAGCCATTCATTTAAGTTCTTGGACAAGTCTTACCATCTTTCTGGTAATTTATGGATAGAGTAGTCAATTACATACTCCAGATGGGGGTGTTTAGAGTAGTATTTAAAAGACCTGCAGAGACAGCAGGCCATGTCCCACTAAGGAGAGTAGAAATCTCTATGGGCATGATAAAGTATAATTTTCAAAGAGTTAAAATCATGACACAAACAGGTATAAAATAAGCATGTATCAGAGGTTTTATTTACCTCGTTAACTAACGGGGAAACCAGTAAAATGTTAAGCCTCGTTCAGAGAAGAATTTGAAAGATAGATAAACTGAAATGAATTTGCAGAGAAATGCAAAAACAGTATCCTACAGGACAATGAAATATATGGTTTGGGGTTGTCTTTTTACAGGGTGGAAATCAGTTGCATCTCATTTGCCTGCAGAACAGTAAAATGACCTTAATCAGTCGGAGTCAGTCAGGGGTACCCACCCAACCGAGGCAGATAATTGGGGAAGTCCCCCTCGTTAACCCCCAACTCGCCACTGAAAGACACCCAGTAACCTGTTGTGCCCATTTTCAAGTCTTGGGCAATTTTTCCTGGCGTCTATTTAAATTACTAAGTGTGTCCTGCCGTTGGAAGGAAGTCATTTAACGAAAAGGGACCTCATAATTCAAGGGCATTCACACAACTGCTCATACACTTGGAACATTTTTCAAGCTCATAGCAAGATGTACGGACAGCTCACACAAGGCTCTTAAAAGTCAGGAGCCTAAAAAATATTCAAGTCAAGTCGTAAATGTGTACTAACGAAGGATGACACTTGCCCCGTACAGCCCCCCAGGAGGCAACAGGCTGGTGGCCGTGATGTGCAGGGCACGGGCCAAGGGAGAGGAAAGGTGGGGTGGGCGTTAGGGAAGCAGCAGAGGGCAGGAGGGATTCCATGTGGGATTTTATTTCTGTAGTTAAAATAGTCAAAATCAGGGCCCTCCGTGTTAGGGGACAGGTCCTTGTGAACTGACATTCAGCGGAGTTGTGACCACAGGGCCTCGTGGGCAGTGCAGCTGGAAGGGAGGGGGCTCACGCTGGCCAGCCCCAAGCCCCTTGCAAAGCTGGGGTCACGAGAATTAGCCAAGAATCCCTGTCACAGCCACGACCCGTGGCACGTGACTGCCCTATGCTCCATCTTCCTCCCAGTGAAAAGATAATCCTGAAACTGGCCTCTTCCCTTTTGTGGATATGTTCTGAAAATAAAGATCATTTTAATTTTTAAAGAATCCTACTTTTCTAAGTCTAGAGCAGAAATAGAAAAGGCCCATGTTATGTTCCCGAAAAGCCCCCCACTCCCGGCCTCTCAGAAGCAGCAGGATTTAGGGAAGAGTCTTGGCCACGAGCACCGCTAACAGGAGATCCTCCCCAGGCTGGTTGCTTCCGTCCTGGAGCATTCCTTTGCCCGTACCCCCGTTCGAAATGAGAAAATAAACCCATCAGCCTTCATGTTGCCAATTTTCCCTCCGTTCTCCACACCTCTCCCACCTCCCCACATTTCCTCCCACTTAGCAACCAAGAATATTGAATGTGAGGAGAAAAAAATAGCAGAATTGGAAAGCTTTTTAAAAATACTTAACCAAATGCCTGGGCTGTGTCCATACGTCCTCCGTTTCCTGAAGGATCTTGCAGGGCCAGAGCAGGGAGGAACCCTGGCTCCAGGCACAGCGTCTGGAGGGGGTGTGGGGGTGGGTGGAGGAGGGACCCATCAGGGGTTTGCGAAACTGCTCCCTCCAGCGACTCCCAAAGCCTTGAGGGAGGAGGAGAGGGATGGTAATTGAGCAGCCCCTTAGTAAGGAGCTTCCTGATTTTTTTTTAACTTTATTTATTTTCTCTGGGATATAAATAAATGTTTCTCCTGTAGGCCTTACCATTGTGCAAACTTAGACATCCTCCCCAGTATGGTTGGGTTAGACATGACCCCAGCAGGAGAATGAAGCATAAAGAGGGGAGGGCTGCATCTTGACAAGGGATGGCATCCTTCCTTGTCCTCCAGATAAGGGCAGTTCTGGGTCCGGCAGCCTCGAGTCCATGATCAGGTCACGCAAGGTTCTAGAAGAGGGTAGAAGCTCATAAACAAGTGCATGAGAAGCATCCCTGCTTAAAAAAAAAAAAAAAGAGAGAGAGAGAGAGAGAGAAGTGCAATAAAAACTGGGCAGAGAGCATCTTGGCAGGTGGTTGGTTTCTCCCCAGAGAAGGTCCACGCTGACACCCTGAGTCGGGGCGCCCTTGTTTCTGAGCGTGCTCGCTCGTGGACGGGCTTCTGCTCTGCCTGCCAGGGCTCCCCACCGTCCCCCACCCCCTCCCAGCTCCACCCTGGGGCTGGCCCAGGCCCCTACCGCGGTGAGATGATGAGGCACGGAGGGAGATAGGAAGACTAACGGGCCACGTGGAGAAGAGACCGAGCTTTCGTGTTCCCTGCGACTCGTTCCCTCTTGATCTTTGCTGGAAGGAAGATCACACTGAGCTAGCTGCTGAACCCAGCCTTAGACAACTTGCAAAGAGAGTTCCACCTGCAGGCTGAGAATGCATCTCTGCTGTGAGCAAAATGGTGGGTGGCGTTCTCTCGAGTGTACATTTGGCAAAGGTGTGTGTCATTTCAGAAGCCTGGATTTATTTGCTGGGTCTGCAGTTTTACTTGCCTTTAGGAGAGAAAGCTGTCTCTTGTTTCATCTCCTCCTCTCAGTGAAGGAGCAAGTTCCTTCAGTCCTTGTGCCCATTGGCTCAGCCACTCAGAACAGAGGGACTTGTGACCAGGGCCTCACCAGAAGGTTCTGGCAGCCTCCTGGAATGGACGGTCAGCGTTTCAGCTGATGATGGCAGCACCCTTCCCTGGGTCATCCGTGTGTGCCTTATCTTCAGCCCCTACATCAGCCTCACAAGATCGAGACTCTTCTTTCCATTTTATAGAAAATAAACAAGGCTGAATAAGTTGCCTAAATTTTCCCAATTAAATAAGCACTAGAGCTCTGATTCAGGCCCAGGTCTGTGCTGACATCAATACTCCCTGCACCATGCACACCGCCTCTCCAGGTCGCAACCAACTTCCTTTCCTTTATTTTTATTTTTTTATTGTCAACCAGTTCTTTCCCATCCCCCTTGCCCCTGCCACGTGGACCATCTCCATCGCGGGAGCCATGTCATTGGAAGAAAATATTTTCTTTCCCAGTCCTATTTCAATCGCTTACAAATCGCACTTAAAGTTTTTATTAAAAAAAAAAAATAAAGACGTTTTCTTTCCTCTCACCTCAGTTGGAAGCTGGAAACCCCATCCGGCACCAATTAATAGTCACCAGCATTTTGGGGAAGCTTTTCTTTTTACAGAACGTGCTCTCGTTCCATCTTCCAAGCAGCCCCATAAAGCAGGCAAATGTCATGTTCTTTCATACGCGTTTTACTGACGAGAATTGAGGGTCAGGGATATTGGGAGCTCGCCTTGACTCTTGTTAGCCAGCCGTGAGGGGCCTGGAGAAAAACAGGCGTTTCCTCCTTTCCCACCTGCCCCGCTCTGGCTTCCCATCCCAGGCCCCTCTCTTCCATCTAGTAAATACTGTGCCAGGCGCTAGTTCAGAAGCCGGTAGGAGACCGGGCCGCCACAAAGACCCCCGGGCTCTCACTCAGAGCCCACCACCAGCTTGCTTCTTGTGTTTAACAGCCTCTGCGGGCTGTGGAAGGTGGAGGATTTCCAAGGAAAGCTTCCAGTTTCCGGTATAGCTATACCCATCACTAGAATGTACTCTAAATGTTCAGTCCTGACGGGGAACAGAAGTCACTTGCATGCGGGCGTCTACCTGTGTGGATATCTACAGCTTACATACCGTGGATTTGGGGCTCCTGCCAGTGTCCTCCCCCTAAACCCTCCACTAGCACCATTGACCAGGAATGGTTCTTCCCTTCCTGCCGTCCTCCTTGAGGGGGGCCCCTGGCAGCCTCCGGGCCAAGCACAGGAGGTGAAATCACTGGTGGTGAGGCGGGAGTGGGTGGTCCACGGCAGGGGCTCAAGCAGGGTCCCCCCGGGAGAGAGAGGAAGGCTTTCGTGAGAGAGACTGGCCAGAGTGAGAGAGGTAAGGAGACTCAAGAGGTGGCCAGAGCCTCCATTTGCCTCTTCCTCCATATCCCAGGGGTCATTGCAAAGGCAAATCTTGATTGGTTAAGACCCCACACCCTATAAACGTAGAACTAAAACTTGCCTCAAGCAACCAGCACAGTTCTCAGTCAGAGCATTCAGAGTGGAACCGAGCATCTCCGTTTTGAAGAGGGAACGGTTGCTTATGCACGGTTTTCAGAAGGAACTCTGAGGAAGAAAGAAGGAATGTGACCGCCCATAGTTTCTCAGCTGGTGGAGGGGAAGTTGATCCTGTGTCATTACAACAGTGGGGAAGGCTCACAAGTTAAGATGTGGGTTTTAGCAGCCGTTTCTAACATTCAGAGTAGGAGGCCCTTAACTCAGCTTCCCCACACCTGCCATTGTACTAGAAGGCTAGGAATAAAGTGGTCCTCAGAAATCAGCCAGCCACATTCACCTCGGGTGCATGTTTGTGGGTATATGTATTTAGAATGACTCATGGAGTATACCTGAAAGTTATAAATCTTCTGAATGCTCTGTCCACATGACCTCAGTTCCGCCTCACGCCGCTGTATGCAGGAAAATAATCCTTATCTTCACCTGACAGGGAAGACCCTGAGGCACAGGGAGAGTAGGACCAGAGTGACCTACTTGTTAGGGACAGATAGAAGGTAAGATCCCAGACCCCTGGCTGGCTTCCAGGACCCAGCAGCACACGTCGCAGCTAATCCCGGGCAATGAGACTTGGTGAGCTGGGAAAGTCTGGAGGTTTATGGCCAAGGCAAACCCATCAAAAACCCAGGCAAATCCTTTCTCTGCAATGCCTAGCACCTTACCGTGTGTCCTAGAATCCCCAAGGCGATGAAAAAATCACTATATTTTGAAATGACATCTTCTGAAAAGCTCCGAGGTGGGGAGCCATTGCAATATTCAGATCATAACTCTTTGTAATATTTTTCTAATATTTATATTAAAAATACATGCATGAACGAACCGATGTTAGAAATATGCAGTCAGTAATGTGATTCATGAACATTTGCACCTACTTTTATGTTGTCTTCTGCTCAGAGACAGTTATTGTTTCACAGTTGTGGAAATAATTAATAGAACAGTTTCCAAAAAACGTGTATCCAGTGATGTAATAACTATAGGCTGACAAACAGTCTGTACTGAAGCAAGTTTCCGTCTGTTTCCGGTGGATTTCTCTAACTACATCACTGGACGTGGAAATTACAGCCTATAAACCATATTAGGTTTCATACCAAATCTTGTTTGTACCACTTTTAGCAACAGCTGCATACAGGAAGGAAATTGTGTCCCTTTATTATAGAATTTGAGCTTCTTAACAAAACAAATACCACACCTGGAGCCCCCAGATCAACAAAACAAAATAGCTTCAAAGAAAAGCATTATAAACTCAAACTTCAAGAGATGGATGGGCTGCTTTTTGGAGCTTCTTGGGTGGACTATCATGATAGAGGAAAAGAGAAGAATGCAATTGTTTTTGCTTCCAGGCTTCTTAGGACAAAACAAAACAAGAGTCTGTAGGAGCGAAGGTCCCCACCTGTGTTTCTTTCCACTTAGGCCCCAGGTGGTCTCCCATGTGACTTGCCAAACACGTGGTGCCAAGCCTGCTCTGTAGAGGGTGCTGGGGAGGGGGATTCAGTGCAGGAAGCTGGTAACATGCAGGCCTGGAGGCTGGTGCCCGAACCCTGCTGTATGTCCTCAAGGCCCAGCCTTCTCCAGCCTCTCATCACTGGACAAGCTGGATGTCGGGGGGTGCCAGTGACCAGCAGCTCCCTATGTGATCCCACGACTATTACACAGGGACACAAGGGAGGCCACAGCCGTGATTGCCCTTTGAAAAGTAGGAGCCGGGGGTTCTCAAATCTTTCTACACATTGGAACAATCTGGGGAGCTCAGAAAAATGTGGACAACCCCAGAAATACTGATGCATTTGGTCTGGAGAGGGACCTAGGCATAAGGGTCTTCTAGAAATGCCCAGGTGCCTTCCCTGGGCAGTGAGGGCTTAGCTGTAGACCGTTGATTTGTAAGACAATTCGAGGGTGGTGTGTTTATGGGCTTGATGAGCTCCAAGACTTCCAACACGGAAGGCCAATCAGTTCCCCATTCTAAGGCAGAGAACCTGTCTTCAAGTTTTCAGTTTTGTGTCTTATAATGATACCAAAGAGGCTAAAATTAGCAAGGGTCTGTGGGTGTGGTTTAAGCGTGTTTGTGACAGTGAGCATGAAAGGGATCCCAGCCCAGGCCGAGCCAGGACGCAGAATGCCTTGTAGGCGACGGAGAGGTGCTGAGGAGCGTCCCAAACGCACAAAGGTGTTACTGCACGTCAGGGGTCGGCGATGGTTGATTCTGTGTCTCTCCCCCCTGTCCCCCTTCCAATGACTGACCTCTGCAGCTGTGTTTTGCAGTGATTCTGGACGTGGGAGCAGCCTCTTAGATAGAACCATTGCTGACAGACGACAGCTTAACACAATTACTTTGCCAGACTTCAGCGATCCCGAGACAGGTGAGAATAATAGACCAGAGGGGACGGAGCGGTGTCGGAGAGCGCGTGGGGCCTGGCCCTGAGTGGCGAGTGGCGGGGGACGAAGACCGCCAGGGACGGGGCTCGGAAATGCTCCTCGCGATAAGAGCTTAAACTCAGTCGAGGCTCATTTTCTCCAGTGTCTTTTCAAGTGTGTGTTCACAGTGGGGGACACGGTAGTGCCTGCCTGGCACAGCTCTTTGCGATCTATTTTTCCCCATGCTCTCAGAGCCTCAAATTCAAAACTAAAATTAGATTGTTCACATCCCCATGAAGCTTCCCCTCTGCTTTTCTGCTTCTCCCTCTCTAAGTTTCAGATCTTGCTGAAAGCAGGTTTTGATTTTTAATCAGTTGAACATAGGAACATCCCCACCCCACCCCCCGCCCCCAGCAAAAAGGCCCTTCAGGGACACAGGTGGGTTCTGAGCTTCTGATTCTCCTGTCCCCTGAGCAAGTGTGTATACCTTGTCATTTGTGTTTCCACATTCGCCCAAGTACAGAGGAGTAAATACGCCTCTGTAATTTCCAAAACTCCAAACAAGTAATTCTAATAGTTCTACCGACTATTTGGTGGTGATTTGGAGGATATAAAGAAGTTCCCCTCTGCTTCGAGCCTCAAAGGTAGCTCCAGAGCATCATTTGAAAGCTGGTTCTGTTGCTTCTTCACCCCCACCCCGTCCACCGCCACGGTGCCCCGCAGAGGGCCTGTGTACAAGGCTTCATCCCCATCTGGGTATGCCTCCTCTTTTCTGGGCTGGCTTCATGAAAGGAGCCTCCAGGTCCTTCTCCTGACCTTGTGACAGGTCCCAGCTCCTGCCCAAGCCCTTCCAGAGAAAGGCAGAGAGCAGCCCTGGGGTATGCACAGCCATCTCCTGAAAAATCTTGCCCCTGGCAGGATGGGAGAGATGCCACCTCTAGAAGCCAGATGTGCCACTCGCCCAAGCCCATGCTCACAAGCTGCCTGCAGACTGCCTTCCTTGGCTAGGCTCCCTTGTACCAAAGTTAAAGTCAGCTTGAGAAGTCTGATCCCAGGGCCCCAGGGCTCCCAGGTTAAAAGAGTGTTGGGTATTGGATGCAGTGCGAATTGCAGATCAAATGCAGTTCAGCAGGGCTGGCGGCCACTGCTCAAAATGCTCAAAATGCAGACCGACAAAGCCACAAAGAAACCCACCCCCTGCAGTGGCCTGATCCACCACCCCCACCCCCCATTGACCAGCAGTCCTGGGGAGGGGAGCCTCTGACTTTAAATATAGCATGGCAAGTCCTCCTAGAGACCCTATCGAACCCCCTCATTGCTGGCAAGGGAGGATGAGGCTGTCGGCTCTAGCCACTGCAGGGTGAGGCTGGGACACCACGGGGAGAAGGGGGTGAAGCTCACTGTGGCACCGGCAGCAATTTCAGCTGATTCAGAACAGCTGCTGCGGCTGCCCGAGGCTGCCCCCCCTCTGCCCCCTCCTCAGGATCCCGTGAGGACAGTCCTACTAAATTCAGACCCCCTTTCCTTCCAGCTGGCCTGGACCTTAATTTCCCCTGAAGTCCCAAGACTTGAATGCCACATCGCATTGAATGCAGATGGTGGCAGAACATAAGCGAGGTCCTTATTTGTTCTCCCTTTGCCCCATGGGACATTTTCCCTAGAGACTTCAAGAGTGTCCCTGGCCAGGTTAGGCCTTCTGAGATGCGGTAGTATCCAGGGGAGGTGTGTGTGTGGCGCAGTCAGGGCGTTGCTGCGCCCTTGTCCCTACTGGGGTTTGTGCGTCTGCTCCGTCCCTCACTCTGGGAGCCCAGGTGGTCGGAGTGGGGTTGCTGACACAGATGCCCTCGAACAGCAGGAGAACTGAATGGCACAGCCTCCAGGCCTGGCCACTGACCGTTTTATTGTTGTATGATCCCTACAAGATGATTCTTGTAGGAATCCCTCCAGGCGTTCACTGGCCCTGCCCTCAGGGCCCCCAGTTGTTGGTTGGCACACCCCTAATTACTTACCCAGGAGGCCAGGGAATCAGAAATGTGGAAGGCCATGTTAGGAGGCCTTATCAATGCCGACTGGTTGTAAATGAGGATAGAACATTCTGAAATGACAGTTGAAATCAGAGAGACAAAAATGAGGAAGACTCACCTAAAAATGGAAAGGCTGCCTCCATCTTGGTTAAGAGAGCCCAGTTTTCCATAGTTCAGCTCCGGGGCAGGTAGAGGGCCGGCACATGCTCTTTCATTCACCTTTGTGGATGGCCTGGCTTGTGAACGACCCACAGATTCTGAGTTTTGATTCAGAAGGTGCCATAAAGAAGTTTTGCTCCCATCCCTGCGCCTCCATCTTGTTTTTCCCTAAAGGTAACCACTTTTATTAACTTTATGCTTGCCCTTCCAGTGTTTCTTTTCATGCAAATAATCACAGATATGATTTCCCATGTCCCCCTACATGAAAAATAGCATAATACTGTGTAGTTATACCATCCAGCACCTGGCACTTTTCACTTCACGGCATGTACCGAAGACCCCTCCACATCCACCTGCAGACAATGTCCACGTTTTTTACAGCAGCGTAGCGTTCCGTGGCGCAGATTCACACTCCGGGCTTCTCTGTCCCAAGGGACCTCGGCCATCTTCCTCCTCCTCTTTGCCACAGCCTTCGGTGCATGTGAGGGAGGAGGCTGGCCGATTTTGAATAGCCCTGCTCATTTAGGAAAGCAACTGGGCTCTAGAGCAGAAGTGAAAAGGAACTTATCCAAGGTAAAAATGGTTCCGAACCAAAACAAAGTGACCAAGGTCAGCTACGGTGTGAGAGGACCCAGCCCTGGCCGGTGACAGCTCGCTGATAGTATTGGTCCCTGCCGCACCTGGTGCTTCTCTCCTTTCCTGAATTCCCTAATTTAAAGGGCCCAGGCATCCAACACGAGTGAAGCTGCACAGTGCTGGCATCCACAAGGACTTGGCCAAGGCCATGGTGAACCTCTACCGCCATGACCCTGTCCGTTCTCAATTACCCAGGGTGCAGATAGAGTCCTTTGCGAAGGCCCAGACCCTCTTGGGTCACTTGCTTTTGTGTTCCAGAACTAAAATTTCTTTCCTTTTGGTTTTTTTTTTTTTAATTTCCTATTGTGGAAATTTTCAAATATACCAAAACAGAGGCACCAATGTAATGAATCCCCGTGTACCTACCACCAGCTTTCAACGATTAGTATTCCTTTTCCATCCATCACTTCTGTCCCACACTTCATTTTTATACAGTATTTTAAGGCATATCCCAGACATCATATTTTGTATACTAAAATTTCAGTATATACGTCAAAGAGATAAGAACTTTGTTTTTAAGAGATAAGAGCTTTTAAAAAATAGAAGCACAATGCCATTATTATACATCTGGGCCATTATAAGGTACAGGCTCAGCATTATCGATGTGGGAAGTGGTTAATTAACTAGGATATGGTTATCCTAAATCTCCACCTCCGAAATCTCCCATATGAACATCTGTGAAATAACATAAGGGGAACCCATGTCTAGAAGCTTTGGACTGGCCAAGTCTACTGTGGCTAATAGAGTAGGCATTGGTTTCATTAAGTGGATGTGGCAAATCGAAAAAGCCCCCTAAACAACATGATTTCCCTTCCATTGTCACCTCTGGCTCCCCTCCCCCCACCTCTAATAGGTCCCAGCCACGGAAAAGAGGAATCAGATAGAGTGACAGTCTTAACATTGAAGCTATGAATCATTGTCTTTTCTTAGGAATAAGTTGGTAGTTCCTTAAATAGAGGATGAAAAAAAAAATTTTTTTCTTCCTTTTGCCTTCAAAACAGGATGTGGAGTAAGGAGATTTATCTCTAATCATTGGTAGATATTACCAGACACCTATCTAAAGCAAAATTATTCTTTCGCCTTGAAAGTTTGGTCCATTGTGTCTGGGACAATTTTTCATTGTGGCCGCGGTGGTCTCCCTGTTACTGAGTATGTCCCCAGTAGTGAGGCATGAAGGTGGCGGTCACAACTTCCTTTCCACAGTGCCCAGCCTGTGCACCCGACCACAGACCAGCTTAGAAAGCTTAGCCCTCCATTGTCGCAATGCTGGGACCATGACCTATGGTTACACCTCATTATCTCTACCTAGGAAAACCTTCACTTCCAAGTAAACTTTATATAAATGCCTCTCATAAAAAACAAATCTAGGAGTGGCCAAGGTCTACACCTTTCCAACTGAAAAGCGGTCTCCTCTAGAATGTCCTGGATATTGTAGGTTAAAGATGTATTATTTTCAGCGGATCATGCTGCCGAGTCTGTGCCCAGGTAAATCTGAGTTATTTTTATTCCATGGTGTTGTTGCAGAACAATTAAATAACCAGTGGAAAAAACAACAAATTTGTTTTCTTCGAAAAGCACTTGTATTCTATTGTCCAGTAGAGGAATGATTGTGTATTACATGACCTCATTTTCTTTGCAGCTTATGTGAGTATATTAAAAGCTAGTTTATTTTTTTCCTTTGTGTCTCTGAAGCTTTTTTTTTTTGCCTTTATCCTTTTTTTTTTCTCTTTCACTTTTTTAGTGTCAGATTCCTCCTCCTCTTCTCTTTCAAGAACCGAATCTCCTCTCCACCTGTTTGTGTCTCCTCATCTCCATTCTCATCCCAAACCTGACATCTTTGTGTGGCCCCCTGCGGCTCATTCATTCAATGACCCAGGTCCCCGCCAGGAACCCTCTCTGTGTAAACATGGTTTATGGTTTTTCCTTTCTTGTTAGACCTGCTGCATTTGCTTGATGTTTCATTTTCTGATAATCTTCCTAACTGATAAGCTGGATAGGAAACTCCATCAAATTTATCTGAGAGAAAAATCTTGCCAATTTGAAAATCCCGAAGCTGGGTGGGTCAGAAGGAGACATCGGTACCCAAGTTCCAACCCCTTCTTTGAAAAGTGAAGGAGACCTATTTTGAGCAGGATAAATAGAAGCTTTTCTAGACAATGCCTCTGGTTCTCAGCTACTCTTATGCT